GGGGGTGGGGGGCGTGGCCCGGGGCCTCCGCCAATCAATAGTGCTGCGCCGCCGCGCCGCGCCGCCAGACGGAGCCACTTGTACGAGGGCAGCGCGGGGGAGCACCGGCGCCCAACGAGATATGAAGGGCAAAGGACAAGCAGCCGTTTACTCAGAGGGAGTCTGCGGCGGACGAACGGAATGTTGACGGACTATACGTCCAATCCGATATTCTTTAACATAGTGGCCAAAGACATTTTACAACGAGTTGCGTGCGTTGTCTGTACAATTTGGGTTTAATGGAAACTTATACGTTTATAATCTAGGGATCGTTCTCAATAGGCGAGGCGTAAGCCATGTTGATTCCATAGGTCAGTGTTTTGTTTACTTTGCAGTTGTCAGTTTTATGCAGCCTTTACGTTTTTACCACGCGCTTACCGAAATATTGGTGAGAAGGACTAGTTAACAGTTTGCGTGATTGATGAAAAATACATTCCACCCCAAATACACTCTTCCAATATCTATACAAATACTACGTAATAGATTATTCATATTAACAAATAAGCGAAATTTCGTAAAAAAATGGAGCAGTTTTTGAAAAAATGTGTAGAGTTTTTGACAATGCGAATTTTGTAGCTCATTTTCACAGAAAGGTTTTGAGTTCTCCAGAAACATTATTAGATATAGATTGACATAGATTAGATTAGATTAGATATAGATTAGATATTATTTGAGACACAAATATTCACAAATGCAATAACGTATGCGAATAGCTGGTAATGTAAATATTAAAGACGTATGAGAGCGATCAAAAAAGAACATTTGTAAAGTTTTTGAAATAACAAAAGAGTACTGTGTATTTAGCACTATCTCTACACAATGTTCAAAGAAAAAAAATCATGCGATGTTTGAGAAAATATTGTTTTTAATACCTTATGTTTAATCGACGTTACTTCGTAAGATGACAATGTATTGTAATCATGCTACGGAAAACGGCACAAGCTCTTATTGCCGGGTCCTGGTAACGAACAAGTGGATAAATCATGTTCCTATATCTAGTACGAGCGTGTCGGGGCTGATTAAGAGCTAAGGCCTCCCGGTTCACGCGAGGTGAAAACGTGTTTGGTTTCCCTGGTTTAAATCAAATAGTTCTAGTTCTGACTTGAATCAACATACAATAGATATAACAACCATAAAACACTTCACAGATGGTTGTATATACATATGATTCAATACAAGGAAACACTTCACAAATTTGTATGTACAACATAGTTAATGAGAAACACTGCACACATCCCGTTCCAGCTGCCTCCATACGCCTCTGTCTTCTAAACCAAAGTGGACCTGCTCCTATCCGTAGTCTATCGCTCCATCTGGTCTGCGGTCTGCCTGGTTTCCTCCTTCCAAATACTGGATGGTTGTAGAGTACTCCCATCTTGATTGCTTCTGCCTCAGGACGTGATCTCTCCATCTCCGTTTTTGTGTATCGGCTTGAAAGACTCCAACTTTGATGTTTGTTTTTGTTCTTATATCGATACTGCACATTCTATCTTTCAGTAATGTAATATCTTCCTTTCCATTTTACGTTAACAGCGTTGCAGCAACGTTTTTTGTGCTATTGTTAAATACCACGTGTGAGATCCATTAGTACCGATAAAACGCACGATTCCATTATTAGCATTTTGATTTTTAGACTAATTTGTTTGTCCAATAGTACAAAAGAAAGATTTTAGAATTTGGTCCATGATAACATTGTTCTTCTTCTAATTTCCTTGTCCGAACGGTTAGAGAATGCAATTAGTTGACCTAAATATACATATTTTTGCACGTATTCTACACGTGATCCCTGAATTGTTATTGTGATCAGTTGGTCGTTGGTCATTTCTTTTGTTTTGATAAAATTGATTTGCAAACTTACTTTCATGCAAGCGTTATTTAGGGCAGATATATTTTTTTCAGGTGTTTTAGCTGAAGTAGCGAATAAGACAATGTCGTCTGTGAGTCAGACATTTGTTAATCGGCGACCATTTATATTTATGCCTGCGTTTTTAGTTTGTAGTTGAGTATATGCGTCATCCATATCTGAATATAAATAAAAGGGAATGTGCGAATGTTTATCGCATATAGACGCAAAAACTACTCGACCGATTTCGCTGAAATTTTCATACTTGTTCTTATTAGTATCGGGAGTATTTAAAGAGTGATTTGAATTAAATTGGACATTTGGGGGACGAGATGTTATGTCAAGAAGACGTGCGAAGTTTATGGTGATTCTGTCTATTCAAGCGCCCCTGTACAAATACGCTAGGCAGCGTGCCGTGCAGCCAAGTATTAAGCACGTGTAGTTGCATACTGTGCTCCTGCGATTGGATAATATCACCTAGACTTTTAACATTCGAAATACTGCTTGAACGTTATTTCGCATAAGTAAATCAAACTTCTCCATGCTATAGCGAAGCCATACCCAAACTTAAGGGAGAACGTTTTAACGATAAAATACTTGACAATCTTGTTCAAACCACGACATCATACCCATTCAAGCGAGAAAGTCTTTCATCTACTTGAACTTTTGCGAGGTGTAAAAACGTTATTAGCGACCACGTGAGTGCAGTGTAAAAACATATTTCGCACGATTAGTTGCACGGTTAATGGAAGAAGTTTCGAACTGTGGAGACAAAGTGCGCGCTAAATTCTTATAATGCGATATCCGTATTTGCATTTGTCTGTCTAGAGTTGCCCACCAACAATTGATCTGTACATAACTGCATAATATGCTATAATTAAAAATATAATTACAATCATAAATCCTCCTACCTATATTTTTTTTTAAAAACCATTACTATCAAGATTACAAAAATTTATTTATCAAAATGACATATTACCAAGAACTCAATTGGGATTTATAAATAACCATTGTACAATCCATCAACTTTTAGGATTAACTGATTATATCGCTATCAACGTTCAAAATTTTAAACATACATCAGCAATATTTCTAAATATTGAAAAGTATTTTGATAAAGTTTGGCATAATGGTCTATTATATAAACTACGGCAAATGGGAATCCCATATAATTTACAATGTATATTTAAGAGTTTTATTACATCCCGTTCATTCAAAGTGCAAATTAACTCAGAATTGTCTGGTGAATATCCATTTTCAGCAGGAGCGAGGATCCCCACTTTCGCCTTTGCTCTTTAATATCTTCATCTCTGGCCTACAATCGTTTGAAACGTATGAAATTGTATTATTTGCTGATGACATAGCTTTATGCACTTCACACCCTGATCATTTATTAAGTCAAAACAACTTACAACATGATTTACAAATCTTAACAAATTAGTCTAATAATTGGTAAATACATATTAACCCTACAAAGTGTCAAGCATAAGACGAATTAAAAATATAAATCCTCTAACAATCAATAACACAACAGTTCAATGGCTATCTCCAAATACTGCTGTTAAATATCTTAGCTTATACATAGATTCAAAGTTAATTTGGAAAGATTGTCTAATACACACGACGAATAAAACAAATATTAAAATACTTAAACTGTACCCATTATTAATAAAAAATCTTCCATCAAAATTGAAATAGCTATCACAGTATACAAAACAATAATCCGCCATTCCCTCACATATGCATGTCCAATATAAGGTGGCACATCAAAAACAAATGTTCGTAAAATTAAAGTTATTCAAAATAGATTCTTTTGACGTGTTTTAAATTTTCCTTGGTTTATTAGAAATAATCGAATTCAAAGAGAACTTTCTATTTAACCCCTTCAAAAATGGATAAATAAATGGTCAAACAGTTTCTATTCTTCACTTATCTCTTGCCCATCGACACAAACTTTCCAATTATGACATTAGACAACCCATTACTCCGAATTCAATCTCGTCATTCGTCATGTATCACATACTTCTTAATTCCATTTTATTTTTTTATTTTTAATTTGATTTGCAATTCAATAGTAACAAGTCACAAAAATTAAAATAGCTGTTCAGAGGCCTCTTCCTGGAACTTTCTCTAAGATTGTTAATTATATTTATTGTTTCATTATGTTTTAATACACACAATATTAATGTAATTTATGTAAAATATTGTCGAACCCTTGAAAGACATTTTTATCACGAACAAGAAAATGTATAATTAAAAAAAACGCGAGGGTGCGTTGTTTTTTGTCAATAATCGACGAGGTGGCCTCTACGCCGTTCCCAGAGGACCTTGCTGAAAGTGCAATCTATGGATATCATTTTGAAATACATCCCACACTTCAACTCATAAAATCGAATAATATCGAAGTTGCGATCTGGAAAGCAGGAAGTCTGAACGAGATCCTGGCGGTGCACAACATAATGCGAATATTTAATTTTTGTAGTAAAGTGTTGTTAATACATTGTTAGTATGTAATTAATCCGTAGTTAATCTTCATTAAACACATTTATTTTGAACTTGAATTGTATTTATTTAATACACTACAATAGTGAAGCAGTGCTAGGTCCGCTAGTCTTGCCTGAAACACAGGCAATTTGTCCCAAAAAACGGCTCCTAATTTTTGCTTTAACATGTTTCTCTTAGGTAGGAAAGAACTGTATAGAAAGTAGTGCAGTTTGCACTTTCATTGAACTCTCAGAATTTTCGAAAATATAAACAACAAAAAACATAAACATAGCAAAAATACAATATTGATGATAAATTTTTTGTTCTTAAAAATACGAGTAATTGTTCCAATTTGCGAATTCGAATTTCTCGCTCTTCGCGCGATGCACGGGCACTCATTTTTTCAAACAATGGAACCGCATTTCCCGCACTACTTTCACCAGAATACTTCAGAAGTTATCAGCAGTGGTGCTAGACGCAGGATACTTATCATACGTATTTTAAATGAATCCTGCACTCGATAAGAAAAAATGTCAAAATATAATATGATATTTTTGTTAAATGAAAATGAGTGCAACACAAACAACAACAACAAAAATTAATATATATTTTGTGATAGGGATTTCAACGCAGGACGATATGAGAGTGATTTTTCGGATAATATACCTATATTCTGTCATATTACGTTCAGTTATTTGAGTAAGAAATCTAAAAATTCCTTGTTTAATATTTGAAGCTGTTGAAGTAACCAACAACTCTTATTTTATCTTTTGTTTCTTGATATTTGGATCATAACTTGTGAATTTTAGCTAATCTACATTTGATATTATTATTTCAAATAGTCAGTTTTAGCATAAGCAATAATTTATTTTACTCCTTTTTTTTAAACTTTCGATTCCAGCTTGGGAACTTTTTCAAAAAAATATCCAAGAAATTAATTTAATGGGACGTTAAACACAAAGTTGCAATATTAAGTCGTTTCTAGCAAAACGTTTATTTAAAAAATTATTACTTTTTGCTCTAATTTCTGACAAGAGTACATTTTATAAGTATAATATCAAAGCAACGAACACTTTATTCATAATCGTTTTCGACAATTTTTAAGAAGCATTAACATAACAGTGTATTACGGCCCTTGTAGCTAGAAATACTGGGCATTACCCATTTAAGTAAGTGGACAAATAACTTCACAGCATGGATCATTGCATTATAGACGCTAAGGCATTCAATGTATGCGCTGCGTGGTTCCCGGTGTGCAGGCGGCTCCCCTCCCGCAAAGCTGTTCTCCCTCCTCAACTTACAGTTTGGCCGCTGCCGCGGACGGACGTCCGGCTCTTGAAAGCAGACGCCCGCGGCAACAGGCGATGCAGGCCTGGCCTGGCGCACTCCCTCCAAAACGCCTATCCTCCCTCGTCCGTCATTTCATTCGAACGCCAAAGACTGCCTTTGTGTAGCAGCTGGGTACCGACGTGTTGTTGTTGTTGTTGCGCAGGGCGGCGGGAGGCGTCGGCGTCGGCGGCGGCGGCGGCGGCGGGGGCGGCAAGGGCGGCGGCGGGGGCGGCGCGCGGCGGCGACGGCTTCGACGCGCTGCCCCGTGGCTACTGGTACGAGTTCTCGTCGCCCTTCACGGAGGCGTACGACGAGCTGACGGAGGCGGAGCGCACGCCCACGCCCGAGCCGCTGCCCTTCTTCGAGGGCCACCTCAACGCCTCCAACGTCACCACGCAGTTCGGCGGCTCCGTCTTCCTGCACTGCCGCGTCAACGACCTCCACGACAAGACGGTACGCTGCTCCGCTTCGCTCGGCCTCCTGTGCAGTTCGCAGTCTCGTGGAAAAAGAGGGCGTGGGAGGGGAATTTTCTGTCGACGTGAATTAATGTACACTTGCACAATCAAAAAAGGTCGCATGAAGTTATGTCTTGACAACTATGGACAACTCAGTGTCCGGGGATTAAAATTAATCTGAGTATAATTTACGAAGTTACCATGATGCGGAACGGCAAACCTGCGTCATCTTCATATTATCAGCAATATTAAGTGATAAAATTGTATGATTATTCTATAGGCCTACGCATAGCGCTAGTGTAGTGGCTTGTAAATTCAATCGTTTCCATGTTGAGAAAAACATGTCAACACTGCCATAATATACGTGGACATACTCATTACCATTATTTTGCAGTAGAGAAAGGTTATGTTAAACAAGAAATAAAATGGCGAAATCGTTTGCGACGTAGAACAAGCTATACAAATATTAAGAGTGATAATTGTAGGTTTAAGAGACTAATCTTTGAAGACAATCACAAACTTTTCCGAAATAAATCTCTCGACATCCACTGCGATAGGATGTTTGGTGAGGTAAAATACCCCCAACCTACAAAATCATTATATAAAATGGTGGAGTACATATACTTGCATTATTAGAGCAATGTATTTATACATAGATGCTTATATGCATAGTTTTGCTTTATATTCTGTTACAAATGTCTCAAATTTGATGGGCGACTCACTGTGAACATAGTAGTGGTATTTGGCTCTGATGAAGCTGAGCTGTTATATTACGTTAGAGGAATATAAAAATATTGCCGTTTGAACGTTGGTTTTCATATCTTACGTTCAAAGAATGAGATAGTATTTGGAATTGACTTCAACTTACTCCTATACAGAGTTTTGTAAAACGCGGATAAAGTTGTAAAATTTAGAAGTATTTGAAACAAAAAAATTGTCCCCATCATGGCTGCCGTAGCTTCAATTTGCAATGGGGAGAGATAGATAACATTAGCAGGGGATTGTAGAATCTTTGTACACACAACTCGCATACACACACAGGGGGGGGGAACCATGACCGAGGAGGCAGGCATGTATTGTGGTGGAGACTTGTAAACGGCCACCCAGACCCTGAGTTTCACGGCGGCACCCCCGTCGTTAGCTTACGGTGGACGCAGTGAGTAGGCGATGCTAAGCTCCTTGTTGCCACAATTTGGGCCCCTGGCGTGATGACCTTTGGAGGAAGTACTTCTTCGGAATGATCTGGATCCCGCATATGAAAGTTCAGACGGAGATCAGGTTGCTCTGGCGGCACTCACGTCGATAGCATAAAGGTGATGCAGTGAGAAGACGGGAAAGGGGCCCCAAGCCGCCCGGGTCTTGGTTCGGGTCGCCTCCATTCGGGCTATTGGCTTCGTCGTGGCAGTGGCTCGATACTCTGGGCGTAGAGAAGGGACTTGTCCCGGCGCATTGTGAGTAGCGCATTGATTTGATTCCGGTACCGGCCTGAAAAGCCGGTAGCTCTGAGCTGGCGGGGCGGCTCGACCCAGGCATTAAATGGGAAGGTTACTGTAAGGGTAAACTGCGTTCTGGCGAGATCCGGATATCAGCCTCACGTACTTGTGCGCCGGAGGGGGGTGATGATAAAGGCTAACGCTTAGGTGTCGACCCCTGGGAGAACTCCCCACTGTAGGTCAAGGAACAGTGTGATCTTGTAGGAACCGCAAGGCATACACCCACATACAAACAGGAAACATTAGATATGTTCATTGTTAGAACAAACATGCATGTACGAGTAAATGGTGAAATTTATATTTGAATTTTGCCAGAGATAATTCTTTATTATTAACAGCTTAAACGATCAAACATTATGACAAGCGTCCAATAATTATTTTCATCTGTGTTTTAGCGTGAACAGAGTCGTGATGAATATTAAACAAAACGAAACCTTATCTCTAAAATGTACTTATCTAGTGATCATATCGGCGGCAATTTCAACCCACAATTTGTGGAAAAGAAACTTCTTTTGTTTGTCCCGCTAGTTCCATAATGAGGCCCTCACAAAACAGCAACGGGTCAGTTATTCAGCACTCATTTTAAATGGAACCTTCCTCTTGCAAGATCTGGAGCCGTGATCAGCTGTAACATAAGCATCAAAACTTATCAATGCGTTTTCTCCGTGCTTATCGATGGTCCTTTGAAATTCTGGATGACAACTGCGCATTCAACACATGCATTTCCTTGAAGACGTTCTGGTAGCTTTGGTGTTCTCGCTTCTCTTACCGTTTCTCGCTGCTTCAACATAGGCGCATTCTTACTTCATACAACACATGAAGACAACACACACATCTGAATGCAGCGCGCTTGAGTTCGCGGAATCTGTGGACTTGATGACGTCACAGGAAAGAGACTACACAGAATGCCGTCTCAAAAGAATTGATTTGCTTGCTTTTCGATACATCTCTTCGTCCAAAAAATTACGTTTAAATTTTGTGAAAGAAAGCGCACAAGAAAACGAAGGAAACATATTACTAACGCATTACTAACGTACATTCCATTTCTGGTCATGAGTTAATTTTTTTCTCAAATAATGCAAAATCGTACACCAAAAAGGGAAAATTGACCAGTGGTATCGCACAATAAAGATTAAAACCATGTAGAGGGTTAAAAAATAATATCTTTTTGGCAATAGATATACACAGAGAAAGTTTATATTTAATGGAGTTACACATTATGTAGTTGCGTTTAAGGTGAAGTAACTTCTAGAGTTCATTAACTCTCCTTCACTGAGACAGAACTGACCTGCTTGCAATTTGTGAAAAGCAGTTGCCTAAAAATCAGGGGAAAATGTCACATGTGAAACTCCATTATATGAAATTTAACACTGTCCAAAATTGGTCGTTTTCCCCCTTGTACCTGTCCCAGACGGAGGTCCCTGTGACAATGTGTGTGTGCTGCGC